ATTTTCGGAGGATAATTTATTTTGGCGCCTATTTTATTTTGATTATTTTATTATAAGTATATTATAATTCTGTTATCGATAATAAAACACATGAAATATTTGATTTTAATAATATTAAGTTAAATTATATTATGTATGCCGGTAGTTATAGACTCTTATATATAAACGGTAAACTTAAATGAAAATTAAGGGATGGCAAGAGTACGGAATGTTGAACGATTATTCGTTACGAATATCTATAAAACAATAATTTATATTGGAAGTGCGATGTAGGTTCAAAGTACGATAAAATTATTAAAATGAATGTTTTTTTCTTTAAGTAATTTACTGMACTTTAAAACTTTAAAACTATATAGATATAGGTAATAATAATTAATAAGTAATAAGTAATAACAAAACATATATTTAAACGGCTGTCGGATTGGAAAAATATAAGAAACGGGGTCGACATAATATTTTAATGAATATAAAAAAAAAAAGTATTATAGCTATATTGCATTGGCCGTTTTGAGAAATATTACAATATAAATATATAATTCAATCTTGATATCGGTACCAAATTTTAAAATCTCTTATATATTATACACAATAAAGCCGTTATATATGAGTGGTACTCATACATATTATGTATACATATATAGTTGTTGCCTGTTAGTTTTATCGTTATATTAAAGAATATATACCCTTTTTTGGTTCCACTGTGTCGTGTTCAAGGCCGGGTGAACTGCTGCTGCCACCGCCGCCATCAACTCCGATATCGCCGCAGCCGTTTGCACCACCGTTGCAGCTGAGGTCTCCGCCGATGCCGATTCCGCCGCTGCCGCCATCACCACCACCAACCCCGCAAACATCGTCGTCGTACTCGGACTTGACCACCACAGATCCGTAGTCACCGTACGGATACACGATGGGCGCGTTGGTAAACTGCTGCAAATCATGCGGCGTGTGCCAGCTGTATGGCGACATGAGATAATCGCCGTTGGGCTTATACGCCGAGTCCGAGTCCATCATCATTTCGCCGGTCCACGCGCAAATGTATGGTACCTAGGTATACTACACCGGGGAAATCGACTGTTGTGCGCGCAATCTATAAAGGTAGCAGGTCGACGTTATATATTCTATCGACGAAGATCGAAATTATACAGTTATTATTATGAGGCGCGGGACATCGGTGCAGATGACGTGTGCTGCGTCCGGAGGATAACGTACGTATATGACATGCGTGAGATTATATTGTATCTAGTGAAGTCCTGAAGGAACTATAGCAGTCTACGACGACGACTATATTATAACTATAAGATCCCGACGACCGAGAGAGAGATATGGCGGGCGGGTCCTTGAACGTGCTCTAAATTAAGAACTGTATGTGGTGGGGTGGGTGAGCGTCCCGCAGGGTAAGACTTCGACTGTATACGCGTATATTATAATATATATATATAGTTGATACCCCCCACTCGGTGAAAAAATATATTATATTATTTACCAGCGTATGTGTGCGTGTGTATAATATTGTAATGCCGACCGATGTATATACACACTGCAGCACGCAGCAGTAGTGCAGCGCGTATACATATACATCTGCGCGCGCGGGAGGAGCCTCTCTCGGACCAGGGCCGTGATTGATGGCCAACGACCGGGACACCCGGCTTCTATCGTATCTTGTCTGAACGCCGCCGCTACCCTTAGTGACACATATGTGTGTATATATATATATATGCATAGTGTCGTGTGTGCGTGTGAGTTTGCGCGCACACCCCCGCCGCGCCGCCATTCTGACGACGTTATAATATATATAACATTATACATAGCCCGAGACAACTTCCTTTTCGTTGTCGTGCGATACTGCCGTCGCTATACTGCACCGGTTTACGTTGTACAATAATGCCCATATAGGATACCAATTGGTTCCTAAATCAGACTCATGTTAAATTTGCTGTTGCAGCTATATTGGTCGCTTTGCGTGCAATAACATTGTATAATAAATACCTAACTAATATAAATTATATATGTATACCAACCAAGTACCTATGTGGCTATGTAGAGCCATTAGATATATAGGTAGGTACCTACTGAATTACTACCATGACTACATCCTCTTGGCTCGAGAAGATGACTAAAAACATAATAATGTATTCGGGAATAATATTAAACGTTTATATAACAATCATATTGTGCRAACACGTCTTAAATAAAAAAATTGGCCAAAAATTCTGCAGTGGTAGACTGCAGGCATCAATTGAAAAGGGTTAATGAAAACAGGATCCCCACGATTCACAAAACACATATTTTAAGATTTAGATAAGATTCACATTAAGGCTTCTTACATAGATATTTATATTTATATTTAATATGATATTTATATTTAATTTGTATAGGTATGTATACATTACATTATAATCATCTAACCATATTAGGACTTAGGCATAATCGGTATTCTYATGTTATATCATTAGTTATATTCTAATGTCATAATATATCAAAATCGGGTTGAGACTACAAATCAATAACTTTCCATAATATATATTATAATAATTGTTATATTATTATGTATTTCATTATATACCTTCGTCCTACACCTACCTCTAAATT